GGTGAGATTTGAACAGCTGAACTGCAGAACTGCAGTCAGCTGAAGTAGCCTGCAGTGCTGCATTTAACCACTGCGCCACCTCGCCTCTAGAAATAATAGTGTTCCATTAATTACTGTGCACATGGTAGGTCAAGACTAAATTGAGACACCATTACCATTAGAGAAATATGTGAATTAAGCCATGTTATAGTTTTACATAATACATTGACTCATAATCAAACCAACCAGGCTACACAAGTCACGAATAGGGTATAAACTAATCATTCAATTGGTTGTGCATATGTAACCACTAGATGTTTAACTGGGCTGGCTAGACAAGTTATAGGAAAGCAGCCAATATATAAGATAAGTTCAACTTAAAGTGAGTCAACACAGCCTTTCCCAATCTTGTGTTCACCAGAATGTTAAGACAATAATATCTGGAAATCTTATTGCTTCTGCCCACTGGGAATTCTTGGAGTTGTCCTAACCTAGCTAGAATTTAGAAGGTTGGGAAAGGCTTTTGCAGCAGAGTACACAAAGGCCAAATCAGGCCTTATGTTCAACACAGAACAAGCTTGGTTACGGTCAGCAACTATTGTAGAGCTTGAACAAAGGTTATGAATGTGGATTTTCCCCACTCAAACAATTCTTCTCCTTGGCCAGAAACAAGGATTAGCATCCTCTAGCTAACAATGGCAGTTCTAATATGCTCATATAGCTCTTGCAGTGTTTTGCCAAAAAATATGTTCTTATTCTATCTGAAACTTAAGCATGTGTAGCTCACTTAGAAATCAGCACTACTGTGTTTTGGCGGTTTAGGATTGCTCTCTTTTGGAAAGTGTGTTCTCAGGCTTGGTATTTCTGTTTTAGTCATTTAGTATCTGCAGCTCATAGAAATCTCCCTGTGAAGGGCAGCCCTCTGGAACTCGCTCAGGTAACATTAATTTTATTTTATTATTTATTAAATTTATGTGCCACCCATCTCATGATCCAGCTTACAATATAATAATTCTCGGTGTTTGAATGTAATTTATTATCCCTAAGCCGTAAACCTGGAGAAAAACCTCCGGTGGAAAGGTTGCTGTTGAAGGGTGGAATATGACTTAAAAGGAATAAATGAATGGGAGGGAGTTGGACTAGATCTACAAGGTTCCTTCCAACTCTTCTATTCTTCTCACAGAAGAAGAAACCACTTGCATCAATAAAGTGGGAAAGTTCCATTGACCAAATATTGTATACAAAATCTACTTTGTGCTGATGGCCAGGGTCTCCTCTGGGGAAGTGGGAGGAGACTCTGGCGGAACTAAAAGAAGTAGATCCTCACAACAATCAAGCTGCAAATTTAATTGATACAAATGGGCATTTTTATAGTTCTTATTTTAAAGTGTTTTATACTACCATAGCATGGAGCAGGGGGAGGAGGCATGAATAAGAAGCTGCTTTCATAAGAAGCAAATGACAAAAAATGTCATTTCTTCTTCTATATCTTCCCCCCTTTTTTTCTTTTCTTTTTTCTTTCTTTTTCAGGCAAGGCTCTGCCTTTTCCACGCTGCTCGGTCTGTTCTAGCCAATGGAATGAAGCTTCTAGGAATCACACCTGTAGATAAAATGTAATGGGGCAATTTCCTTGATGCTTTTCCTGTGTATCGCTTATGAAGATTATCTGATCTCTGACTTGGACTTTGTGGTCTTTCCAAAGTAATGGAAATGTTCGGAAGCCCCCATGACATGAATTTCTCTTTTCTATAATAAAGCCAGTTCCAGGTTTTATTGGTATTTGAATGAAATGGTTGTAGATGCACTGTGTGTGAGCCAGGCTGTAGGACTGTGGCTTTGACCTGCTCTGAAAACCACTTGGAAATTTCAGCAGCTGTGCAATTGGCCTCAAATAATAGTGCTTTAAAAATTAAATCCCATTTTGTTTTTTTTTTGCAATACAAAAGCTTTCTCATTATGAGAATATTAGACCTGTGGAGTGTGGTTTTTTCCCCCCTTTTTGTTCCTCATATGCACTTGGCTTGAAAGGCAGCCATTTTTTTAATATATGCGGTACATTTATTTCTAAAAGCTATCTTGCCATTATGAGTTATGGAAATCCTGTGGATGCAGTCCTTACCTGGTGCGTCATCTGCCTTTAAAACTTTTCAGACTTTAAGAAATATGAAGCTGCTATGCCCCAAGGAAAATCGCCAGCCTCTCCCAGTAAAATTCTTTTTAAAAGCACCCTATGTGACTACCTGTATATTTGCACAGTACGCCATTGCAATCTGATGTTTTATTAAGGAATGCCATGTTTTAAAACTAACTTACTTTTTAGATTTTTGTTTAACCTACTTTGCTATTTTATAAATAACTCAAGGCAGTGAACATACTTACACTTCCTCCTCCTGTTTTCTTTTAGATACCAACTAGGGCTAACGAGGCAAGCACATTCCAATATTGGGATGAATGTTACAGTAGCCTGGCTACCCTAGACAGTGGTGGAGTGGGGGCATCTATAGGACAGTGATGGCAAACCTTTTGTCCCTCATGTGCCGAAAACGATAGCGCGTGCCGACCCCTAATTCAATGCCTATTGCAGCCCCACCCACCCCTACGCACATGTGTGCGTGACCATGCACACGCATCGCGCAGCAGATTCAAAAATCTGCTGGCCAGCAGGTGGCATGTGCGCATGCGCAGTGGAACTGATCTGGGCGACGGCTCGCGTGCCCCCAGAGATGGCTCCGCGTGCCACAAGTTTGCCATCATGGCTATAGGACCATATAGCTCCTACTCATCACTATTAAGAACGTCAACTCTTGTATACACCCTGATCCTCAATGTCTGTGACTTACTGCTTTGGGGTATTGTGTCCCTTCAAAAATACAGTCTAGGAATATTTATTATGCTATACCAAGCAGTGCTTTCTGCATATAACTGGATCTCCCAGGCTTTGGGAAATCAACACCAAGGTACAAATCAGGTTGGCTCCTGCAATGGTTCAGAAGAGAGGTTCATTGCAAGGTAACCTTGACAGTGAAAACAATTAATTAGTGGAACGGCTTGCCTCCAGAAGTTGTGGCTGCCCCATCACTGGCGCTTTTAAGAGGAGACTGGACAGCCACTTGTCTGAAATGGTGTAGGGTAGAGGTCCCTCACCTCTGGGTCGCTGCCCACCAGTGGGCTGTGAGCTGTTTGCAACTGCACGAGCAGTGGGCGAGCATGTGCATGTGTGCTCCATTTTTGTGACCGGTGATTGCGCGTGAATGCCAGTTGCACAAATGAAGTTGCGCGTGAGTGCTTGCCGGCTGCTTGCATGGAACCGCCCCTCTCTCCCCTGCCCCACCGACCTGTGAAAGAGGCCTACATGGAGATGCAGGGTGAAACGTTTGTAGAAAACCTCGACACTAATCTCCCAAAAAGGATCTGATTGTGAGCTGTGTCCTGCGAAACTGAGCTACCTCTATTCCCAGAAAAAAATGTCTCCATACTATTTCCACTGTAAAAATAAAGCATCCGCTATCAAGTTTACAATTGTACTTTTTCCTTACGACAATACAGAAAAAAGTACAGAGGTGCAGAACAAATAAAAGGTTTACGATGAAGTTTCTTCTCTGTGGAGAATAATTGCTAATGACAGTAACTTTTACTTACCGGTATTTTCTCCCAGTAATCTCTGCAAACAGGGCTTCCACATGTGGTTTGTCTGCACTTATTCCCATGTTCTGTTGTCCTTTTTCTTCCAAATGCCCTATAAATAACTACAGGTAGTCCTTGACTTACGGTCCCAACTGAGCCCAAAATTTCCATTGCTGAGCAAGAGTGGGTTAAGTAGGTTTTGCACCATTTTTCCGACCTCCTTTGCCACAATTGTTAAGTGAATCACTGCATTTGTTAAGCTAGTAGCATGGTTGTTAAGTGAATCTGGCTTCCCCATTGACTTTGCTTGTCAAGAGGTCAGCAAAAGGTGATCACATGACCACGGGACACTGCAACCGTCATAAATACATGCCAGTTGCTAAGCATCCCAAATTTTGATCATGTGGACCACAGTGACGCTGCAATGAACAATCGGGTCACTTTTCTCTGTGCCACTGTATCTTCAAACAGTCATTAAACAAATGGTTATAAGTTGAGGGCTACCTGTATACAGCATCAGCAGATGGTATTCAAAATCTATCTTCCATGTTACCTTCCCCCTGCCCCTTCAACTATTCAGTTGTTGTCCAAAGGTTTTGTCTTAAGATTTTCCCTTCCCTCCCCAAAAGTTGGGTGAGGCACTTTTACAATATCACAATGACTTCCTCCAAATTCTGGGCAAAATAAGACCAATTATTTCATTTAGACTCAAGATAGCCTTTAAAAAAAAGAACAACTCTTAAGCTGTGTTCATGACAAAATTGGAAGTAGTTACACTTGCTGGCTTTAAGGTTGAAAATCACTTCTTGACATCTGATTTATCAGACTCTATAAGCCTTAGTTTGATTGGTTCCATCTGTAACAACTCCATTTACAGAAATCATGCATTTTCATTTCTTAAAACCTCATTTTAGAAAACCTGCTAAAAGCTTTAAAAATATTTACCTCTCAACGATTCCAGTAGAAAAGTGAGTTGAGAAAAATCAGTAAATATAAACCTAAATGATATTTAATCAATAGGGTTTGTTCCCTTTCTCTAAAATGTATTTAATCAAATGTCTTTTTTTAAAAAACAAACAAACCGTAACAGTGCACACACTAGCCATACTGCACAAGAATGTATGTATGTATTTATCAGTTAATTCAATGCAGGAGTAAATGTATGTACAGTGCTCTATCCCCTTCCCTTTTACAATAGAAAATTCTTAAAAGAAATCACAGTATTTTTTTTCCTTCCTTGTGGTTTTTCAAAAAGTAGCGATCCTGGGGATATTAAAAAATAAATTACCATTTTCAGTTTTAAAGCTCCAGCAACAGCATTCTTCTATCTCACAACTTTGTTTTTCCTATTGCAATTATGATTTTGATTGTAAAAGGAGTGTAGCATTTGGCTAGATCTTCATGTCAGGTATCCATGGAGAAAAAGACTTTTAAATTTGAATTATCCTTTTATCCTTATCCTTTCAACCACAAGCATTTCCGGCAACAAAGCCTACATAAAATGTTACAACACAGGAGGAAATTCCATGACCATCTCCCTATTTATGTGTAAGGGTGCCTTCCATTCCTTCTTTTCCACACAAGGCATCTTCAATAGTAAAAGACCAAAGTTTATAAGGAAAAGTGAGATTCTACAGATTAGCGAAGAATCTTCCTTCAGTGTCTATTTTCACCCAATGAATAACCAGCTTCATTTTCGGTCCCATCAGAAGCTTTCCATGAATTGGAATTGAAGGATTTCATTCAAAAAGAAAATCCGGGGTGGGGACAGGCATACAAACTGTCTCTTTTTATTTTGTATTGCCTTTTCTATTCTTCATGAAGACAGACATCACACATTACTAAGATTTCCTTTTGACGTTTTTGTTTCTGCTGGCTGGATTTTCGTTGTATCTTGTCGAGGCAATCCATACAGATATATTGAAACACAGACAAGCAGAGCGCCCAGAGAGAAAGTTATAGCTGGAAGGGAAAAAGAAAATGCACCGTTGAAAGTGTGCTGATCACAGCCTCATCACTG